GAATATTTGTTAAATAGATGGCGAAATTACGTTAAATACGCATTCTATCTCGCTATAAGTATCAACATACAGCACTTTTGTTAATTTAATCAATGGGTCTCTGGAAATGTTTCCGACTAATGTCTCTGATGATGAATCCGCAACAGATGTCGAAACGTCAAGCGAATAAACGTATTGCCCGGCAATCGCGTCTTCTTCTTCTCGATTTAATCAATATTACTATACCTGCTTCATATATCACCTAAGGTCAGACGACATAATTTCGTTTGTTACTGGGGTATTGAACTTAATTGAAAAAAAGCTTCAGTAAGATCGCTCAAGTTTAACTTGCCAAGTAGGTAGAAGTTAGGATGGTTGCCCACATGAGATACGCTGGCCAAAGAGTTCTGTTTTACAGGGTCGGTGGTCTTATTTAGGTTTGGATTTTAGTTTATTATATATAATTTCTTATTTTAACTTTAGTTTAGTTTTTTAGTTTTCCTAGTGTGCTTTAGATAAGCTCAGTTTGTTTGGTTAAGCTTATTGTATTGATGTTGCTTAATTACATTAATATAACGTTGATGGGATCTAACTAACCTTAAAACTAAATTAACCCAAAATTTAATTAAATTATTAAACTAAATAAGATAATGAAAATTAAATTATACATAAACCCATAACGTTGAGAGTAACCACAGGAAAAGAGGCTAGGAATATTTAAGGTGGACGACCAAATAACCTTTTACCGGCAATTATTTATCCCCATAAATCATATGCACAACTATTTTTCATGTAGTAGACGACTATGTGCAGAGACCTTAATTTTTTTTAGTATTTTGTCAAAGTTTATCAGCAAATGTCGAATATACTGAAATGCTACAAGTTCAAAATATAATTTCGCAGAACAGTTAAAAAAAGCAAGCAGGCAGAGGAGGCCGAGCGACCCGTAAATGCGCCGTACGTCTCGCAGTTGTCTAACGTATTGAATGGATATCGCCGAATCACAAGTATGAAATTTCAGTTACTACATGTGCTGACAGTATGACAATTTATTGCGCACATTATACTAATGTCTGTACGTTGGCCACATGCATATATATGTCGCTTATACCCTAGTGACTGATGCACTCCGGCCGAAATATTTACACGAAATTGTATACTGCGCCTGCAGTCCTTGAATATACTGATCTGCTCCAACTTCAAGAAAACTGTGAGGAGATTGGAATGGGAAATGTCTGATAGTATCCATGATATTTTAGTAAAGATTCACCAACCAAGTAACAACGTAATATTTTTGGTTGCAAACGTGATGACTACTGAATCTCATATTGACTAATAGTTGCTCATGTTCAGGTCATCTACGAAAACCCTTCCTATGACTATCATTCGGTGACAATGTTTAATATTCGCCTCTCAAAATGATAAGCGGCGTAATGGAAAGTAACACGGAAATTCAGTTAGATTGGCTGCAGGTTTGCGTGGAATTTTCTGAAGGTTTTGTTCTAACCTCCCTGAGCCGAGTGCCGAGGCCGACTCAAGAAGGCGTGAAAGGGCGCATAAACTGAACGATGTTAATCAACCTGGTTTCGCATGCTAAACCTCTGCACAAAGTCGTTTATGGAGAGGACGACGACTACACGACAGTGTTTCGCGAACCAAATTGCAACGAATATATTAATTGTACTAAAATCAATTGAGTAGGCTTAATTCCAGAAACTTGGACAAATAAGAAACTAGACCGCACCGTCTACTAGAACACAAAGGCGCGCTAAATACTACTAGGACGGAATTTTCATCTTCGTATTTGATGAGTGTTCAGCTGTCGAACCATTAATACTTGAAAAATCGTCTATGTGGTGAGTTCTTCGGAAACAAATTGTTCTGTAGTAATTTGATTTGGGCACCATTGAAGAGCTACACGATGTTCACGTTCGCAACGAAAGCTTCTGAATATATTTTTTTTGAATCTAGAATCTTTTAGAAAAAAAATGTCTTTACTCTCATCTTGTTAATTTATTTCGGCGATGAATGTCGATATCATTCCTACTTTTTCTCCTGAAAGCCCAGCAATTTGGTTTATCGTGCGCTTGCCTGACTGGAAGTTTAACCATTCCACCTCCTTTAAAAACACTACAGTGTGAATATACGACGTGAGTGGTCACACATATTCTAAGGCAGGGACTTAGTAATGAGACTTTTAATAGGCACGCTTCAATACGCTTACCGTGCCCGAAGATGCTTGCTGTGACTCGAAAATAGACAGATTTCTAAACGCTAATCTTTAAGGTGGTGGGGGGTGTTAGATTTGTGGGAAAAGCACATTTATTAACTAATTCTTCCATTTACTTAATGCGACTAGGACTACCACATCCGTAAGTTGAAGAAGAATTTTCTCCCAATTTCAATTAATGATTGACTTAAATTGTAGTCATTTATAAAACCAACAAAAGCGTTTTGCAACACACAGTTATCTGGATCACTTATAGTCTGCCCTGCTTGCCAACTCCGCGTGAGCATATAGGGCTATGGCGCCATCATTTAAATAAAATCGTACTAGGAGCCGACGATTTTAAACCTGCACATCAAATGCTGTTGTTTGCAAATCTAACTGACAAGTCAATTTAACCATTGATCATTATGACTACCTCAGCGAACTCGAATTCAAATTAAATATACTAGGGGTTATGTGAAATTACCCTCCCTATTCAAAGAACAGTAGATAAGCATCCCTAGCTTAACGTGAAGTCATGCTTAATTTTTGTTGGCAGAATAAAAGTGGGTTCTGTAGCGCACGTCAGATAACCCTCACCCCAAAAATCTGTCTTGTGGGCTAAAGGTTTGGAGTATAATAGGGCGCAATAAGGTATGTCTAAAAAGATACCACAGAAAAGGAACAGTAATTAAAAATATTATCATATGCTAAGATATAACAATGAAAAACCGCGCAAAAATTGAAAAATAAACAACCAAACAGGTCCACGGCTGGAAAGAGCTAAACTGTGTATCAGAATGTACGCATGCACGTTAATATGTAAAGCGAGTAAAAGAAAATACGCCATTGGTGCACGCTCATTGAAGAAAGATGATATGCATACATTCAGCATTTATTCAGCATTTATGCTGAAATAATAGATTATAAATACACAGGGCATTCAAAGCATGGGTTAGGTATTTATTAGAAATTTGAACAGCAGACACTGCATGCTTCTTTAAACATATAAATTATAGGCCATTAACCAAACCAATGAAGAAAGTAGCAGACGCTCAATGCGGAAGGATGACTTAGTCTGAGAAAATATCCAAATTTGTTCCTTAAGACTACGAGATACGCAGTTTCCAATGCCTAGGACCTCTAGAAATGGTTATAAAACGCCACCAAAAGACGTATTAAGGAATCAGTCTTTCCAGAAACGAATGAGTATCGTGTGGGAAATGCAATGCAATATGTTGAAATAAGCAAAATAAGCGGCTAACAGATTTTTTACTTTTTTATGTAGTCAGAGATCACTAAAGACATCCATATGGGGATGCAATGCAGTATATCGAAATTAGCAACTTCAGCGACTAACCGATAATGTGCTGTCTTTTACCTCTTGTACTCTCCTGGAAC